GAGTATTCCAATGTTTGAAAGGATTTGTGATTACTGAAACCTTCAAGGCCATCTTACCTCTATGAAATAGTAGGTGCTAGCACAATCTTTTCCCTACAAGAAATTGTTGTAAGAAGGGAAAAAAAGGTTAAAGAGATGAAAATGCTAGCAAATTGGTCAGGTTTGAGTCTACCAACATGTGAGTTTCTAGATGATCCAGAGTGTGAAACTTACAGTAATAGGGAAATTTAACTTATTTTATAGAATGACTCTTCAGATGTATGAGATAGGTATACATCTTCCATGCATAGTTTTGGATTTTGGGTATATCCAAAGACCGAACGATTATTCTCTTAGTAATGATCGGGTTGCTTAACAATACAATAAGTTGTGTTTAGCAACTAAAAATAAAGTTGTGTTTACAGGACGTTGTTACCCATTTGGACCCAATGAATTGTCATCGCATAACACATATCATGACTCTTTGGATGAAATATCTGATTTGCCACAAATAGAGCAATGGATAATGAAGATGATTTGATAGCATGCTGAATATTATCAAAATGTATAGTTCTAAAACAAATGACGATTGGCATAACTAAATCATAGGGCATCAATGTAAGTGTATCAAATGAAACAACCAGCAATGAGTGATACAACTTTTGGGTTCCTTGTAAACTTAAGCATTTGTCAGGCCGGTCAGGGTTTTCGGTTGTCTTGGCCTAACATTTAGAATACATGACCAAGCCCAGGCCGGAGCACAAAAAGCCCGACCTGAAAACCTGAAAAATAAAAGCCAAAGCCGAGCCCAAATCTTCTTGTGTCTCTTGTCTGGCAGCCTTCCAACCTGGGACCTCTTATTTGTCGCATTCTATGACAGACGGGCGGGGCTTCGCACGTGGCAGTGTCCGCCTGGGCTGGCCCACGCAGGAGAATCCAGCGGCGTAAAAAACAATAAATAATGTGGCGCATTAGCCAGGTTTCAAACTCGTGATCTGCCTCTAGTAGACACAAGGTACCTACCTGGTGGAGCTGGTTAACTATCGTGATGAATATGCAACGCGAATTCTTTAGAACAAACTATATCAACAGTTCTAAATATTTTTCTTTTTTTAAAACATTTCAGGAAAATTCTGAATACTTTTAAAAATTCTGAACAAAATCTTAAATACCAAGAAATAGTTTTGGAATTTTTTTGATCAAACTTTAAAAATTGGAAGAATGTATGAATTTGTGAACAAATTTTAAAAAATAGGGACATTTATTAAATTACAAAAAAAATTGACAAACACTTGCAAGTTTTAAATATGTGAAGAAAATAAAAAATGGAAATTTTATTGAATTTGTGAACAAATTTTGAAAAAGCAGATGATTTTTTTAAAACATAAACATGTTTTGGAAAAAGGGACTTTTTTGCATGTGTGCACAACTTTGAAACTATAAACAAAATTAGGAAAAAGCAAACATTATTTGAAATTTGCGAACATTTTTTAATTTGTGAACAAAATTTGGAAAGAAGAACATTTTTGAACCTTTTGAAAAATCAACAACATTTTTGAATTTGTGAAAAAAATAATAACAAGAACAATTTTTGGATTTTCTAAAAAATTGAAATTGTGAAAAGAAAACAAAGTAAAATAAAAACCGGAAGGAATGAATTAGAAAATAAATAGAACAAATGAAGTAAGTAAACAAAAAAGGGAAAATGAACAAAAAGAAACGGGAAAAAAAGAAAGAGAAAAAACTAAAGAAAATGTTAAAACCACGATTCAGGAACCTTTAGAAGGTTCCTAAAACTGGTCAGAAACCCTCTAGAAGGTTCCTAAAACCGGATTTGTTTTTTGAGTGGATATGTAGCAGGTGCGTTATGTTGTAATTGGGCCGGCCAATCTGGGATGCCAGGTCGCTCGGCTCCGTGCGAACCAGCGACAACTTGACGCAACGAGCATCCATTAGGCAATACCATCCAACCCAGCACACACACAGCCTAACCTTATCTTCTTCGCCTCATCGTTCTCCTTCAGCCCGTCCGTCACCGCCCAACCCCCCAAAATCCGTCCACCACACTCCCAAAGCTCAGCCTATCACCGCTTGCGCTGCAAGGCCAGGCGTCGGCGCTACTCGCCGCCCACAAAAATCTTGCAAGACCACGGTCGCGGTCTTATCCTCTCATACGCAGAAGCGAGCAACCACGGACAGACATGCCGTAGCCAAGGCTTCACACATGGCAGTCCCTGCATGGGCCAACCCAAGCAAGAGAAATCAGCGGTATAATGATCGTGGTGAATATCCAGCACGAATTCTTTAGAACTAATTATATCGGAAATTCCAAATATTTTCCCCTTTTCGAACATTTCAGGAAAATTCTAAATACCTTTTAA